TTCGAAATAATAGACATTTTCGGCACATTTAAGCGCTTTTTGAGCTTTCGCGATCTTTAGCCGACGATTTCTTCCCTATTATTGACCCAAACACCTTATAAATGCATATTTGTGACCTTCTTACGTCGAAAGGAATCGATTGTGCTCAAAAAACACGCATATGAAATTTTGATTTTTGGTCGAAATTTTTCCGAGGGTGGGAGTCGATTTTTTGAAAAAATGAACATTTTCTCAAAATGTCTTAAAATTTACACCATTTTCATCTCACGAACGCGAGGAATGCATCGAACTCATTGAAAAACATTGCAGAAGTTGCAGATCCGAAATAATATACATTTTCGGCACATTTAAGCGCTTTTCGAGCTTTCGCGATCTTTAGCCGTCGATTTCTTCCTTATTATTGACCCAAACACCTTATAAATGCATATTCGTGACCTTCTTACGTCAAAAGGAATCGATTGAGCTCAAAAAACATGCATATGAAATTTTGATTTTCGACCGAAATTGTTCCAAGGGTGGAGGTCGATTTTTAAAAAAAATGAAAATTTTCTCAAAATGTCCTAAAATTTACATCATTTTGCCGAAGCAACTGGTAGTCAAGAGGGCGAAGACGAGCTGCAAGTCGTCGGTGGTTGATGAGTCATTCTGAGTGTGAGACACAGTGCAAAAGACGTGGTTTAAATCGAACGGCAATAAAGCGATTTTGGGTGGTCGTGGTTGATGTCCAAAGGGCAGAAGGAAAAATCGTGTTTCCCCCCATGATTGCAAATGCAAACGTATGAAGACAAGTGGGTACGAGGTATTATTATTATTAATGATAGTGCCAAATCATTCCTCCGGTTGGGCCCGAGAAGGCTGTGGGTAATGCGCTGCTTTGCTCTCTGGTAGTACCAGGCAGGTGTGACTAATATGCCGCCTTTGTGGTTCCATGCCGACCGCGGACCAGCTGATTAGCCATCGGGAACCGCCGGTACCACCATGCAGAAGAACCGACATGGGCGATTGGATGCCCCGCGTCTGTCCTCACCTACAGCAGAGAGCTTGACTTAACTTTTATATAGCTTGTTCTTTCGGTTTTGTTATTAATTTTTTCGGATGGAATTCGGTGAATTTTTGATTCGTTTATCGCGCGATTAACTCTGATCGTCGTAATTAAGACCGAGAAGAAACCGACATGAAAAAATCAGCTTCTCGTTATAAATGTCTTACTTCCTTGCCCGGTTGGGGTTCAGCTTGATTGGAAGGTCGTTTCTTTGGGCGCTCTTCACTTCAAGGGCGCGCCCGTGATGAAAATTTGTCATAGACCGTATTTATGGCGCACATTATTAACATTGCTTTCACTCATTTAGAAAATCATGTTAAACTTTATTGGATAAATTCCTGCAAGCCATCCGCCCCTATCCGGCATCATTAATACGTATTAAGCGAGCATATTGTCACACCCCGTATTATCCGACCCCTTGTGCAAACATCCATGGTACGAATGATTGTGTGCGATTTGCACGGTAAGCTTCTAAGTCGACAGTGATTTTATTGCCTTGTTCAATTGTTTTGGTTATGCTCGATCGCCAGCGACGACGACAAATTCTTAAGTTAATTAAAACGAATTCGTTACATGGATTTTATCGGCACAGTCAGTCCATGCATCGATAGGCAGATCGATAGATATCTTGTTAACACAACGTTTTTCACTCTAATGTGGTCGGAATCGATAAAAAACATTTGCATTTTGCAACCGGTCGTTTGTTGGAAAACTGCCATTATGTTTTTGAAACTCATTTTGTTTTTATCCGAAGAAAAACTCGCGGTGCCAACTTTTATAGAGCAGAGTAATCTGGAAATGGAAACAGCTTGCTTAAGTTCACTTAGACACATGAGGTAAAACCTTGGATGGTTTTTAGCACATTTAACTAGTTTTTGTCACTAACAAGATTCTTTTGAAGTCTGAGGCCACTTGGTGCTTCGATCTTTGTCAGTTTCGCGTTTTTTGAGGCCTAAATCGCAATTTCGCAAGCGGATTTTCGCGCGTCGCTTCAGATCTGAGGCTTATCAATATGCTTTTACGGGGTGATCCACTGGCTTTATTACGTTTAAACAGTTAGAGCTGGAAGACCAAAAACACCCTGGTTTAGTTAATTTTGCGGCCTGTGAATGCCAAAATTTTATTATTATTTTGCTTTAAATTTGCAATCATTTGATCAAATTTTTCGTGGGTTTTTAAAGGAAGAAACGAGCTCCCATTTTGCTACTTTGAAGTTGAAACCATCTTTCCAGACACTCATCAGTGTCGTGGCACAAAAATTAAATTCCCAAATAAACAAAACGCATTTGCAAAGGCGGGTTTGTGCAAAAAAATCGAAATTGCCGGTCAACCGTAGAAGCAAACGCTCGATAAACGGGAGTCAAAAGATTGCAAGTTTATTGCAGCATTCAAGATTGAAGAAAAATTAGTTGAAAATTTTATCGGTTATTAGGGACCAGAAGGGTCTTCTAACGGTGGTGAAAATTTTCGTTTTTTAGCTTTAGTTCCAAAAGGTTTAGCAATTTTTAAATGAGGATGTGCATATCGATGTTTATTAGCTGACAAAAAGCAGTATTGAGGGCGATTCTTATGAAACCTTCGGCATCTGCAGAGTCAATCGTTTTTTTAAGATATTGGGAAGTTGAAGTCTCCAGCTGCTTCAACTAGGAAGATTTCAAGTTTTAAATATGAGAGGGCTTTTGGATAGGAACATGCCGATATCGATATTTAATAAGCTGCTAAATCCCAATATTTTCGGTGATTTTTTTAACTTTTAGCGTAGGTGTATGGAGCGACATTCCTTCTAAAGATGCAAAAATCAGCTTGCTTAAGTTCATTTATATGAGGTAAAAACTTGGATGGTTTTTAGCAAATTTAACTAGTTTTTGTCCCTAACAAGATTCCTTTGAAGTCTGAGGCCACTTGGTGCTTCGATCTTTGTCAGTTTTGCGTTTTTTGAGGCCTAAATAGCAATTTCGCAAGCGGATTTTCGCGCGTAGCTTTAGATCTGAGGCTCATCAATATGCTTTTACAGGGTGATCCATTGGCTTTATTACATTTGAACAATTAGAGCTGGAAGGAAACCAAAAACACCCTGGTTTAGTTAATTTTGCGGCCTGTGAATGCCAAAATTTTATTATTATTTTGCTTTAACTTTGCAATCATTTGATCAAATTTTTCGTGGGTTTTTAAAGGAAGAAACGAGCTCCCATTTTGCTACTTTGAAGTTGAAACCATCTATCCAGACACTCATCAGTGTCGTGGCACAAAAATTAAATTCCCAACTAAACAAAACGCATTTTTCTCTCTAATAGACAACGAAAAAATCCGAGTGCGACCTTCTTTCGCTTTTGAGAGACGCATTTTTAAAATACCCTTTGCAAGGGCGGGTTTGTGCAAAAAAATCGACATTGCCGGTCAACCGTAGAAGCAAACGCTCGATAAACGGGTGTCAAAAGATTGCAAGTTTATTGCAGCATTCAAGATTGAAGAAAAATTAGTTGAAAATTTTATCGGTTATTAGGGACCAGAACGGTCTTCTAACGGTGGTGAAAACTTTCGTTTTTTAGCTTTAGTTCCAAAAGGTTTAGCAATTTTTAAATGAGGATGTGCATATCGATGTTTATTAGCTGACAAAAAGCAGTATTGAGGGCGATTCTTATGAAACTTTCGGCATCTGTCCAGTCAAGTGTTTTTTAAGATATTGGAAAGTTAAAGTCTCCAGCTGCTTCAACTAGGAAGATTTCAATTTTTAAATATGAGAGGGCTTTTGGATAGGAACATGCCGATACCGATATTTAATAAGCTGCCAACTCCCAATATTTTCGGTGATTTTTTTAGCTTTTAGCGTAGGTGTATGGAGCAACATTCCTTCTAAAGATGCAAGAAATTGAGCGCAGTTGGTTCAAAGCATCCATTTTGAGACCGATATTAACTTGGAAAAACCAGTAATTTTTCTGGAACTTGCAGCCACCGTAGTATCGAGTGTGTTTTTCAGATGGGCAAAATTTCAACTTTCCACCGGCTTTAGTTTGAAAAACGCGAATTTTTAAAAGAAAGAGAACAGTTGGGGACAACATCCATTTTGAGACTCACGTTTTATAAAACTTTCAGTATAGTTAGAGGTAAGTGTTGGTAAAAAATCGTAAAATTTTAAGTGTGTTTTGCGTTCAAACCAGCGTCGTGGGGACGATACTGGTTCGAACGCAAAAAAACTCTAAATTCAACAATTATCTAGTCAGTATCGGGCCCAAAGGGCTCAGCACAACAAACGCTTAATTTTGAAAAACAACAACCGCATTAAAGCGGGCCTTGCTTTAATGCGGTTGTTGTTTTTCAAAATTAAGCGTTTGTTGTGCTGAGCCCTTTGGGCCCGATACTGACTAGATAATTGTTGAATTTAGAGTTTTTTTGCGTTCGAACCA